TGTTGCTGTTTTTGGCTTTCTGACAAGATTCTGCTAATCAGTTTCTGTCTTTCTTGTTTGTGCATTGCAATGTGTGCAAATCTTGCCACCTATGCTCTTCCTCTCTTTTTACCTTTGATTATAAAAAAGGCTTTGAAGAAAGTAATTTATATCGATAGAAAGAAATTGCCAGTAACCTTTTGTGCAGCATACAGGTATTTTTATGTTACTCATAGAAATTGTGTGAATAATAGGTATCAGATAAGTATTATATGTGAGTCTGCAGAAAATGTTTCAGCTGAAGTAGTGTGGCTCCAGACATGTTGCAGTGTTTTAGCAAGACCTGAAATGAGGAAAAGGAAGAGACATGAACAGAAAAAGGGACCAGTCTCTTTGAAATACAGAGCAGAAAGATTCATTGGTAGAAGTGAGCATTGAGGTAGCAGATGCAGACATCAGAATTACTGCATCCACACGAGGGAAGGGAGGGGAGGAGCTGCACTCTTTGTGTTCCCAGGAGCAGGTAGGCCTGCTTTGATCAACTCGAACTAAAACTTCTCCTGGCTGTTCATGTTCATTACTGCATAGATTTTGAACAACAGCCTTCCCAACTCTCTGCTTATTGCCATAAGGTAGAAAGGAGTTCATCATTCTATAGAATTTGAGCATTGTTTCAGTCTTGTTGAGATTTGTTAGTAATCAATTTTCTTTCAACCAATAATGAATTTTGCAATTCATTAATTTTTACAATTATACAAAAATACAGAATTTTAACAAACTCTGTATGTGGTCTCCTGCTATTTGGAGAGACTGTATTTTCACTGGGCATGTAATTTCAGAATTTTTTTTACAGGGCCAAAGATAAAAATTATTTTACGAGAATCACTGGAGTACTCTGGAGAAAACACCAATTACTTTCTTTGCAGTATATGAAAGCTCACATGTTGATTCTGACTGCAGCATCTTATCAGGAGAGATCAGAAACAGACTAGAAACTTTCAGTTGGACTCAGTACTATTAATATGCCTATTACTGATGGAAAAAGACATAAAGCTTCTTATGCCCAGTGTAAATGTTAGAGAATTCAAATTAGATGTGTTTATTTGTTAAAAGGTTGAACATTAAAATTTTGCTTTTAACTAATTCAAATAATTTGGCTCATGCTGTTCATGTAATTTAAAACCACATTATTAAAACCAATTTTAAAAAGATAATTAGATTTATTCCTGAAAATAAAAGTTGTTTAACTTGAAGACATTCTTTGAAATGGAGAAAAACAGTCTAAATATCAAAATTGATGGAAGCAAAAGTATTAGAAGTTCTGTTGAGTGTTGGCAAATGAGTTTCAGCTGAAAAAACTTTACTTAAAAACTGTCTTATCCATTTTTTAATGGATAAAAGCACAGCTCTAGTAGATCTTCTGTAGTGAAATGAACTACAGGAGGATGTCTTGACATCATTTATTGCCTCAAACCAGGAAATAAACTATGAGATTTGCAGAAACTAGGTTCTTCAGCACTTGTCTGTTATAATTTAGGGTTTTTCATCAAACTGCAGAGTTGTGCAATGATATATCTGTGTGCATACATAAACTTGCAGCAAATTTTATTGGACAGAGGCTTTTGCTTTTAATGTAAAACCTACCTGTAAAAGGAATCACAGTTCACAGCTGGTGTTTATATCCAGTTGTCAATGGAAGGTAGGGTTGGACACAGTCTTGAGGACAACTTCAAGATGGTTTGGGAGAGTATCTACTGAAGACAACTTCAAGATAACTTAGGAGAATGTGTACTCATTTGATTTTTATGGTCCATGACATATCTTTTCAAGGTAGTTCTTGATAATTCCTTTTGGAATAGGTAGCAGCCAATTGACAGACTCCAGAGAGATTTGTGCCTAAAAAGTGTAAGGAATTGCTTTCTGCAAAAGACATCCCCACTTGGTCAAGAAGGAGATTTCATTTCTTTGCTTGGGAGCCTGTGCTGGGTGCTCTGTTTGAGGATGTGCCCTGTGGCCTCTGGCAGGTGCCTGCCAGGCTCTGCTCCTGTGCATGGACACTGTTGGATGCCCCCAAATCTGGTGTCACCTTTGTGGAGCTCTGATGTAAATGGTGGAGTTCTCCCTGGTACCTGGTTTTCTGATCTCCTGAACTGCCTGGTTCCTTAAGTGCAGCATTGTTCAGGGCTCACAGCAGTTCCCATTCTGATTTGTGGAGTGGATGTGTCAGTTAAAGAGGAAGGTTATTTAAATAATTAATGCATTTGAGAAATGCAGTCACCGTTGAAACAGCAAAAATAGCAAAAAAGAGATTTTTTTACACCAAGTATGCAAATTTTAATATGAAATCCATAATTATCTTATCAGTATTTGCTTAAAGGCAACATTGGCAGAATAATAAAATGTGGCACGGTTTGAAGAGCAGCACAATCCCATAGCAACTTGTGTTACAGGCTGTAAACAGGAAACTATAAAACATATTCATGGCATGCTAAAATGTTTGGAAACATACTGCAACAGCATAGAGGGAAATGTTTAAAAAAGATGTTATTAAATAGAAAAGTGATCAACAGCACAACAAAAGCTTCATACGTAAGTTATCAAAGCTTTGCCTTTCCTGCTAGAAATAAAAAAAAAATAGTAGATTAAAAAATTATAAATGGTAAATAGATGCTAATGGGAGTGCCACACTAAAATACAGATTATAAAACAAGTTAATAAAACTTCAGATGTTTTTAAGGAATTCCATAGTTCCTCTGTTAAAGTGAGAATTAAAATATAACAGACATGCATAAGATAGGGAAATTTCTTCATGCAAATAGTATAGTCATCTTAATTCATAATTTAAGAATGCCTATTAAGAGGAGGAGGAGGCAACTGTATACATCAGGGGATATCCTGTACAACTGTATGCTCAGCTTTATTGCAGCCTCTGATTGAAATACAAGAAATGCTGATTTTTTTCTATAGGTTGTTGTGTTTTGAAATTTATACACTGTGTACAAAAGTATGTGGACATAATAACAATACCATATCTATTCTGAGTGAAAGAGCAAAAAAACACAATGCTGAGCTGGACTGTGCTAACAGTAGTGTTAGTTCAACTACACAGAGAGATAATATGGAAATAAACCTCATAAATCCCACTGTGTAGAAGAGGGAGAAGGTACTCATTTATTTCTTCCCTAAATCAATTCATAGTAACAACCCAATAATTAATAAAATACCCATTATTATAAGTCCAAAATGAGAGTAATTGCAGAAGTGTGGTGTAAAGCTAAGAAAGGAGATGTTAATGTGCAAGGAAGAGTTTAAATAGGGAATTATGATATCCTTGGCTTTCTGCTGTGTAGCTGTCAGGCTGGGGCAGCTCGCTGGTCAATAGTGACATTCTGTGTGTCAGTGAGCAGAGTCTCCTGATACCTTAACCTGCAGTTCACACATTACTGAAGCTCCAACTGTCGAACATTCAAGTCCCTTGGTACCACTGCAGCTTCCAGACTCTCCTGACTGGCTCATGTTTCATTCTTTGGCAATTTGCCCTAATGATATCCCTCAGGAGCTTTCAGGCCCTCTTCTTTTCCATATTTAATCGTGTTATATTAATCTGAGGGCTGAGCAAACTAGGCTGCACAAATTGTAATTGTCTGTGATTTCTGTTGCAATGGTCTTATAACTGCTTTTTTCATTTTTAGTGTAAAAATACGTGTACAAAATTGTAGTGTAATTTTTTATTTACAAATCTAAATGTCCAAGACAGCCAGGATGTGAACACTTTAACTGCTGATCTGTTCCACAAAGAGGGTTGTTTTTTTCCCTATAAAATCCATAATGTTTTAGCACTTGCTGTATGAGCAGGATTTACATTTTATTTTTTGCTCTTTGTTTTGTTACTGTGAAAGTTCATGTCTAATAAACAGTGCTATTATCAAGTTAAACTTGGGTAGTAATTTTGTTGCGATATAAAACATTAGACAGCCTCTTCTTTTCCATTAGCTTGGTAGCTTCTCCCTGGGTCATTCTCTTAAAATGTTTTTCCCCTTTTTCTATGAGGTTTGTAGTGCTACATGGGATGGATATGGGCTACCATGTTGTGAACAGTCTGGATTTTTTCTCATTCTGTTGTAATTCTGTGCCTGCATATTAAAATAATGAAATTTGAGAGACTCCCTTACAGCAAAGATAGATCAAATTGGAATTCTTTACATATTGCAAGATTATTTTCTTCACTTGTGGAATGAACTTGGCCCCATTTCTAATGAATTCCACTCTTCTTTGTTTCTTTGTTTTGGGGGTAACGTGGTGGTTGTGGTGTTTTTTTGTTTGTTCTAGAAAACCAGAGATGTCTGTTTGGAGTGGTAAGCAGTTTGTAGCACCTCCTTTCTTGGTCAAGGAGTTCTTTTTCCATGATCCTTGTGCCAGGCTTGGAAGTCTCTGCTTTGGGAAGGGAATTTTGGAAAATTGTAATTAAGATGCTTTTCTGTTACAGGGAATTTTCACTTCAGATTTTTTTTATAAGGTAGTTTGGAAATCAAGATAGTAACACAAACAGGAGTTAATCCTGCTTCTGAGTTTAGTGCTGTTCTGTGGTTTCATGCAGCTTCAGATCAATTCCAGTTAAAAATAGCAGGAATGGGGACCAGAAAACTCTCCTGAGTCTTTCCCACTCAGTGGAGCCTGATGAAACTGGGGTGCACTTCAGTCCTGTGTGTTCATGGCAATGCTCATGTTTGACCACGACTGCATCAAGCAATTCATGATTATTTCCCTTTTTCTAAGGGAATAGCTGAGCAGGGAGGGCTGACTTGTTAGCCTGCCTTCTTGCAGATGTTGTGCTTGTTTACATACATCAGAGTTCTTTGTGGATGTGTTTTTGCAATTCAGAGTAATTTACAAAATTATATAAGAGGTGGTTTGGGGAGGTTAAGATTTTTGCATGTCTAAAGTTAATTTAAGATTTTCTATTTTCTTTTTATTCATGGTTTTTTTTGTTTCCAATTCTGTGTGTATATTTTTATTTTTAGTTAACTGCTTGTGTTCATGCGTCAGCTGCATTGTTGTATCCAATGTATTGGCAACATATTTACATCCCAGTGCTTCCTCCACATCTTCTGGACTACTGCTGGTAAGACAGCTAACCTGTTATCCCCATTTCTGAGATTCTCACCTCTCTTAGAATTCTGAGTAACTGATGAAAACACTGACTCTTTAGTGTGACTGAACATACAGGATCCAGTTTATGAAAGCACTTAGGCCAATGCTTAAATGATGACTTGACTAGGGGTATTCCAGCATGCCTTAATGTAGTATTTGAATGGGTATCTTGAATTACTGATTGCTATTAGTGCAGTATTTAGAATCATGTTTGTAAGAACTGTTTCTGTTTTATTGGTAAGACAATTCATTCAATAATTTGAATGCAAACATGTTACAGTTTTCTTTTATTTGGCTTTTATTTTAAGTTGAAATACATTATACTTATAGAAGCATTCAAAAAACCCTGATCATTTTTTCCAGAATCAGATGTTAGTATTCATCAGTGATTTAGTATTTGTATTTTAACTCAGCCAGGCTCAGGATTCTAGCCAGCCCCTTCCCAAAAGAGCTTAAAAACTCCTTGTGGGACTCCAAAATTTTTATTATAAGAATTCTGCTTTTCCTGATGAGTTTCTGTTCACGTGACTGATTTTGTGGTTTTGGCATATTTTTAAGTTGAACAAGAATCACTTTTTGATTCGCTTCTGATCCTTCCTAGGGGATGATGTTTCCACATGCCTGTGTTTCACAATTTCTTGCTTTTATTCAGAATAGTGGCAGAGATAACAAATGAGAGTTTCCATTTTCCCTTTAAGCAGGAATATCCATCCCTAGAGATTTTCACTTTACCTAGACTCTCTGGGTCTGTTATGGAAAATGAACCATTTCAAGCCGTTCTAGAGATTAGGAATTATTATTATATATAAAACCTGAGACCCAGCCGGATACTTAACTAAGCAGAGCTAGGTCTGTGTTTTCTTCATAGAAGTAAATTATGCTTATGTGTTTGCTGAGCTTTATGTTGTTGGTTTTGGTTTCGGTTTTTCCCCCCTCAAACCTACAAATGTATTGCTGTTCTACTGAACTCCATCTAGTCTAATGAACTTTTGTTTTCAAACAAATCCTCACTATGTTTCCTTAAGTGTCTTTGATAGTTTTTCCTGAAGTTCACAATATTTGTCCATGGTATATATTTTTTCTGTGGTAGTTCTTACAATTCATGTGTATATTATTTGTTTTTTTAAAAAAGAAAACAAATATTTTTCTCCAACTCCTCCTTTTACTTACAAGTACAGCTAAGCCTTTTATGTTTAATGATAGTCTTCTTTTGAAGAAACTCTGTCCTAATTGTTTCTCCTCCTGCCTTTGATAAAATATACCAGGATGGGGTAGAACTTGAGTGTGTTTTAGTTTTTGTATTACTTGAGCTTACTGCCAGAACCTTTGTCATTTTTCATATATTCCAAAAATGCTGTTCTCAGAAGGCAGATCAACACCTTTATGCAAGCTGTACCCTCTGGAGTGCATCCTGAATATGAGAAGATTTTTTTTTTCCCCTTCTAAGCCCACATATGTTTCCAGAAATAACAATATTAGATGCTGTACACAGCTCCATGTGATGATGACAGTAGTTGGGATTCTAGGTCACTGTGGTATGACCTGAGAAATTTTTTTTCTCATTAAAAAGGAGCATGGAGTTTCTTAAACTTTGTTTATATATATTATTCGTAAAATTCGTTTATATGCCTTATTCTTTTTCACAGTAGTGCAATAGGATGGAGTAAAAAGTTCCCCTGTTTTAGAGATGTTCAAAAGGAAACATAAAGTTCATGAAAAGAAATGCACAACTGATGAATTTATCACAGTAATTCAGACCTTTTGACTCAGATTTTTGTGCATTTACGTTTCTCTTTCTGTTCATCTGAATGCTTCTTTTGTGAGACAGGTTGGAAAAATGTAATAAAAACACATAAATGACTTAGCTTTCTTCATGTTCTGATGTATTAACAGTAAATAAATGTTCTCCTCATAGGTATATAATATAGCAAGTTAAAAAACCTTGATGAATTCTTAAGGTCAAAGTTTGTAGTAGGCCTGACGTAGTTTGCAGTCCAACAGGATCACGCCAATTTAGAATTAATAAAAGAATTCAAAAGTTATTTTGCATACTTCTCTTTTTATGTCATTTCTATAAGCAAATTTCGTTTTATAAAAGTGCCATTTTAGCTCAAAGTGCCTAGAAATTTCATTGTCACTGTTTCACTTGGACTTCTTGGAATGTCTCCTATGAAGTCTCATTTTCTTAGTGTTGTCCTGAAATGGAATTCAAATATATGAAGTAGGGGAATATCAATTGAATAATTTGTTCATTCTGTGGAAGTAAGGCTTTTTTTAAACAAAGATAAAATTCATTTAAATCTATTAATTTAAAGATAGGCCTCATTCTGTAACCTTTTTTTTTTTGCACATCAATCATATAGCATATTTTGAGAGAAATCCACTTTTTTTTTTTTCCATTAGTTGGACTAAGAATCTTCATAATGTCATCAAGATAAAGGATGCAATTCTGTGGGGTTAGACTTTGATAAATTACTTTAAGTGCCTAACTGGTACATTTTGTAAGCAAGAAAAGAGAAAAATGTATCTTTGAGGAAAACAAGGCTATATTAAAATTATTTCAATTCTTTCACTTGCCTTTTTAATTAAAAAATCTATTAATTTCTATCCTGCTGCCTGATTTACAGGCTGGATTTAGACCTAATATAAGAGATGATGCTGGAGTAGCCCAAAGCAGAGGGTCAGTGTGGACTGCACCACCCTGAGGAGTGGCAGGCTGTGAGTGCCAGGCTCCAGGGGAGAGCACAGGGTCTGTTCATGGCTTCAGGAGGGGCTTTGTGCCTCCATGAGCTTAGCTCAGCCTGGAGTGCCACTATGGGAGCTCCACTGTGAGAACTGGAGTGACCATCCAAAAAAGGAGATGTCAGAAATGTATTTTTCCAGAAGGAAGCAAAATATAGGCTGAGAAAGTAATACTCATTGTAGGTGCAGAAAAAAATCCACAGTGCAGTTCATAAAAAATTGAGTTTTATATTATGTTGTAAAAAATTGATTTCTCTTCTACATTTAAGTAAGTAAAAGGAGACTGTTGCACTCAGTGGAGTGGGTGGCTGGTTTTCAAGAAAACTGTTACAAAAATTAAGTTTGAACATTGATACAGTAATTATATTTGAAGAAAATTAGTTTTTGTGAAGAAGAAAACTAATTTAATGAAATTTCTGTCTAATATCTTGGCAAACTGAATCACCAATATTAGAATATATGCCAGTTTTGTCTGTGGATGATAAAGCATCTGTTATACTGGTGCTCTGTTGAGAATGTAATGCAATCAGAAAATTCAAGTTGCAATTGCAATAGGTCTTTATGAGATCTTTAACTCTTCTGAGTTAGGATATACATACGTCTGTTTTCGTGAGAATGGGGCAATTATTTTCCAATTAACTTGGATGTTTTGCATAACATAGTAATTATTTTGGGCAGTGATACCACTGATTGATATTTTTGGTGATAACATGCATAAGCAAGATAAAACACTATAGCAGCTCCCAGTAGTATCATAGTAAGCATTTTCATGTGCATATTACAGTCCTCTGCTGCTAAGGCTTCAGAATCCAGCAGTAATAAAATTACTTTTTGCTGAAAACAATTAAATTGACTTTCCATGCCTGCAGTTTTTATTTCATCCATTTTCAAGATGTGCTTTGTAGCTTTATTCTGTTAACTTCAAAATTGAAATGATGTAGCTGTTGCTTTGTTCTGTAGAGAAAAGAGCTACATGCTTCCCTTTTTAATGGCAGATTTATTAATGGAGCAAATCATCAGCTATCTTAAGTCAGCACAGGCGTGGTGAAGCTACTGGCACAGTGTTGATGTATGAGAAAACAAGTGTGCATAAAATCCATACATGACATAGCACTTGTTTTCACTGTAGTTTTGCCTGTTCACATTATTTGTAGCACTGAGATATCCTGATAGGAGGAACCTGAGGATCTGTTTTGCTGCATATTCTGCAGCAGAATTCTCAGTAACATGTCTGCCATCATCATTCTTAGTGGCTTGGTTAAATATGTTACATAGTACAAATCATTCTTTAATCTATAGAATGGTTTAAAGCTGTTTAAATCCTCTCTGAATATATATGGGTGTCTGCTCTGGAGTGACACTCGTTTACAACTCCATGTAATTTGTGTTTAGTTCACAAAGACATAGGGATTAGCCTGGATGAAGTGATCAGGAAGTGCTAAATTTTGTCAGTATTGGGCTAAGAAAAAAATGTGTGGAAAAATAGAGGCCTCTTTTCCTTTTTGGAAGCCCCATTGCCTAGAAACCTTAAGCCATGATAGTTTGCAATTGCAGCAAACCTATATTTTGATATCATAGACAACATGAAATCTTGTTTGGGCCTCAGTCAGTCTGAGCTTTTGGTTTTGTTTGTTGGTTTTTGTTTGGATTTTTTTTTTTTCATTGATCCTCTCCTGTGGGACATTGTTAATGAGAGCAATTGGCTAATCCATAGGGTGTACAGATTTTTCTAAAATGGGCTGTAGTTGTAGGCAGGTGAGAATTGCTTTTTCTGGTCCCAGAGGTGGGACCGAATGGATGAGACCACATGAACTGATGCAGTGAAACCTTGCCCCATCCTTGGGAAGTCAATCACCAATCAGTCAGTGCCACTGGCTCAGATCTGTGATCAGATTATTGCCATGAGAGAAATTACTCTGAGTTGTGTACCCTTGTATGTTATCTTGCCTTCCATTATTTTTCAGGGATTATTTTTATTTAGTTTTTTTTCCTCTGTGGTCTGTTAGTGATTCCTTTCCCATTGAGTTGCCTTAACCAGCCTGTCAATTGCTCACTTCTCTGAGAGTGAATATTGTCAGTAATCTCACAGTACCCAAAAGTCTCATGGTGATTGTTGAGGTTTTTTCCTTCAGTGCTGAGTATATTCTTGGTCAGATGTTGCCAGAACAGAAGATTGTAGGTAACCATGATAAATAAGCCCAATTCAGTTTCTTGCTTGCATACTGCAGGAGGTCTTACTGCAGCAGCTTTGTTCTACTTGGAGAATATGGTTCTACTTGGAGAATATTTGTTCTACTTGGAGAATATGGTTCCTTGTCTTAGGGACATTGGAAAGGAGAATTGGAAGGAGATTATCTTGAGTTAAATAGGATATTATACAGCTTCCAAAGGCTTGCCAGGGGAGGGTTCAAAACCAAAACTGGTGGTAATGATGTTTGTGTTGCACTGTGGTGATGGTAACCAAGACCATGTCCTCTAGCTGGTGTTTTAAAACCAGCCCAATTTGGGAACATCTGCTGGGTTAGCTCAGTGTGGTCAGTTATTGGAAGTAGGTCTGGAGGTGCCTCCTTGCTCATGCCTCATAGTTTGCAGCAGTATCCTTTATTTGGTCATCATCCTTACTGCAGAGTAAAACAAAATTTTCCTTGTCTAGTAAACATTCCTGTAACAACTGTATTCATTTAGTACTGTCTTAAACAGTGACTGTCTACTAGGGTCTTATGTGCCAAGATTTAAAATATTCCATTAGTGTTATACTTAAAACTTGATGTTTTCCACTCCTTTCCTTCAGTGCACCGATGCCTTATCTAATTGGCGTCCACTTAAGCTTGATAGAGGTAAGTTTACTGTCCTCTTCAGTGTACTGGGAAGCATGAGGTGTGTGTGCCAATAAAAAAAATTGTATTGGAAATGTTTTAGAAAAAAATCCCTGTATTTTAGCATGCAGAAATACAAAATTTATGCTTCATATGCTTTGCTAAGTAAAAAATGTCACACATTGAAATCTTACTTTTTAAGTATTTTAGGAAGACATGTAGCTCTACATCATGATTTTCTCTGTCTTATTAATAGCTCAGTGGTAGATATTTTCCTGCATTTTAGCACTTTAGCATCATATTTCCCCAATAATGAGGAAAAATTTATTTTTCAGGAACAGGCAAAATTTATTTTGGAGTCACCGTCACTCAGATTTCGGCATTACTGTGATTTCCCAGATAATTTATGTTCCTGTCCCTCTGAAAACTTGAATCTAACCTACATCCCATAACATTTCTACCTATTAATTTAGAAATTGGTATTTTTTGCCAAAAAACAAGAGGTGGCTTTTACAGATTTGAACATTAAGCAGAACTCAGCTGACTGGTACATTATAGCTGGGTAAGAAATAGTTTTGCCTTTTTCCATAACCATTTGATTATGCTGTGGAGCCTACATGTGCCATCTGATTATCATGCAGAGTAGATAATTGATTTGGGAACATTATTTGATTTGCACTTCTGCTAAAGCAGTTTCTAAGGATCAATTCACATCTGCTAAGGTGGTGGGGTGGGTTCTTCCCTGAGCCACCAGCACTTCTGTTTTTCCAAAAAAAAGCCTTCTATATCATCTACACTTCTCAACTCCAGGCACAGCCTTCTGTGCTCCCAGATCATTATGACCTGCATGCATCAGTTGTAATATCTTGATTAGGATGCTTTTTCTTATTCAATAAGGAAATAATGGAACTGAAAGATCTGCCCTGAAAAAAGAAGTCAGTTCCTTCAGGAATTATTTCCTGCACTGCATTATTATGTATTATTGTAGGACCATATAGAAAAGAGTTCTGTCCCTTTTTCCTGAAAGGAACAAATTGTTTAATTCTTAGCTGCTAGCCAAGCACACTGATGAAAAAGCATTTTATCCATTTTTCTGTGGTAATAGTAGGCATCCTATGCTTGGTACTTACATTAATCTGCAAATAATTGTACTTTTTTCTGGTTTTCATCTGATTGTATGATTAATATCTTATCTGATTTACAAAAATATGAGAGAATGAAATGTTGTTACAAGGTATGTGTAGTTCCAATATGTATTTATCCAATATATTCAACTGCATTCTGTATAAATGCCTTTCAGAGATTATTAATATAACCTTAGTGTTTGAAAAATAGGAAGTATTTTTAAAAGCTACTCTGAATGCTGTATCTAGTTCCCAAATTCTACATCTAAAGCTCCAACTGTTTTTTGCCATTACTGTCCTTTGTATAAAATCATCATTTGTAATTTAGCACAGTATAAGAAAAATGTACTTCAGGAGGACACTGTAGTAAATTGTTTTTCAGTTTTTTTTTTTTTCTTCCTAACAGAGAGTAAAAAATAGATCACTGGAGGATGTGGTTTTGCTAAATGTTGACACAAACACTCTAGAAACCCCTTTTAATGACCTGAACAACCTACCTGGTGAAGTGGTGAGTCTTAGACATTTCATTCTTTCTTATATAGGTGCTTGAATTACTCGTAATTATTTTTGCCTCTTTTTGCTAACTGCTGTAAAAGGAATAAGGGGGTGAAAAGCACCTAGTGCAGACCCCTACATTTGAGATTTTTACCTTTTTGACAGCTGAGGAGACGTTGAATGGAACATCATATTCCTTATTGTAAAAGTAGGATCATAATTATAAAGCCAGCTGCATTCATTAGGCAGAGCTGCTTTAAACGCAAGAGTCTCTTCATCTCATCTTAATCATTATATTACAAAGTAGGCATTTCTGTCTGCCTAGTGGCATGTCTTGCAAAAGAACCAGAGAGTTTTTGAAGGCAAAAAGAAGAAGGGGGCCAATTATCGGCTTCTGCTTCCCTGCCACCTGCCAGCGCTTTCCTTTTAATTAATGATCTGATGGCACTGGTCAATATAATAAGAAATGCTTGTACAGTTGGGGTCAGAAAATTCAGGCTTTGATCTTCTTCAACTTTGTGAAACATTTATTTGTTTTTTCTAAATTATTTCAGTTTTATTTTAATCTCTTCTATCCTGCTGAGGGCTGCGTGAATGAAAACCTATACTGTTTGTCATTTGCTTTGGCAGAGCAAAGACTGCTTACTTAGAATTCTATTTGTAAATTAAACTGCAAACCCAGTTTGTCATAAAAGACATCTGATCCTTTTGAAATGACGAAAGCTGTCTTTTGTCTGTAAAGGATGATAAATTAAGTGCCAGTTCTTTCTGGACTTTGATCTTGCAGAGGGTGCCCCCCCGCTTTTTTTTGCCTTTTTTTTTTCTTTTTTTATTGCCTATAGGAGAACATACTCTGTGTATCATTTTAAACAGTCACAAAATTCACTTATCTTGTTTTTCCCAGTAGAGCTCTAAAAGAATATAATTGTGAAACCACTGTTTTCATTATTCAATTAAAGATGCACAAGCTGTCACAAATAGTTGTCAAGACAAAGAATTTTATATCAAAATATGAAATCAAAGAGTTACATTTTCTGAAATTGTAAATCATAAAATACCCCTGTCGTAATCAAAGTAATATCCTATGGTGGCATACTGTGTCTTTTGTTACTGCTGATAATTTGTATATATTTAGTACAATAGGAGTCAAACTCTTGATGATAGCATTTGTGACACTGCCCTTTGATTTTAATGATCTAAAAATAAGTCTTAACATTTTTATAGATCATCTGGTCAGTCTTTGGACTCTGTATCAACTGTAATTCAGAAATGTAAAAGACTATAAAAATTATTATGATGTTCTGTGGTTTACATTAGCATATTTATTATTAGATTTTGTATATTTTTGTGATGTTTTGTGATTTACATATGCATGGATACATGCACAAGCATATGTACAGTAACTTTGACTGTACTCTGTCATTTGAGAGTATAACAAGTTAAATAAAGAAAGAGTCATTTCCTGGTGTGTCAGGAGCTTTAACTGGACTTCCACTGAGTGAACAGGGTTGATGTTATAATGTCATGAAGGCCTCCATGTTAAATAATAGCTGGATGTGGGATGGAGAATTAGGCATCATATTCCATGAGATACTGGAGTTACAGCTGGAGGTCCTTTGAACAGCCAAAATGGATCTTTGTGCAATAAGAGGCACTTGTCATGTGTTTTACAGGTGCATATCAAAATGATCTCTAAATAAGCAGGCTAGAATGAAGGAAATAGGGATACAGATCTTCCTACTTCTAGAAGTTCTTTTCTCCCAGAATATATGCATGTTATTACTGCAAATCTTAACGTAGGTTATCCAAGTGTACAGACTAGACTTAAAATATTTTTTCCATATCTAACATAAAACAAAAAAGCCAGTTTCTATGCAAAATTTACTTGCAGAACTTGAGGATTTTATACTGAAGCTTTTAATTTGAATAATCCCATCTCTTATTTCTCTTCAATCTGTAAGGCACTTTAATTAAACATTTTGGTGGAATGCATATACAATTACAGTTGAAAAACCTGGAAACAAAAGGCACAGGGCTGTGTTTGGTTCATAAGGTGACAAAATGCTTGTCCTCCTTTTGCATTCATGAGGGGCAGTGCAGCTGCTGACATCTTGGGGAAAAGTATAAGGCACAGGAGTGTAGAGTCAAAATGGTAAGTCAGGCTTAAAACATTAAAGGGAATGTCAAAGATACATGTGTGAAGCATTTTGACTTATATAGAAAAACCTCATAAGCATACATACAAAAGTAGTAAAACTTCTGATGAAAAAATATAATGAGTACCTCTGAAAGGCATTAAAATAGAATGAAGAACTGAAAATATAAAAGAAGTTATAGTCTTACTGTCCCTTTCAAAAATTGATTCCAGGTTGGTTAACAGCCTAACAAAAGAAATGGAGTATTTTCCAAGTTTTCTAAAACTGTTTCTTGTATCCAGAGGGAACAGAGTAATTATTTTCTTGATCAATAAGCCTGATGATGTCCTCACAGCATAGGTATTTAATGGTTTACCCTTGTATATACGCTCTGATCGTGAATTTTTTCAGGATAAATTTAAGATTGAAAGAAACATTATTCTATGGCGTTGTCTAATAAACTGTATAATAAATTAACTGAGATTTAAAGGCATTTTTAAATCATTCACTTAAGCATTTAAATTATAGGTACAGGCTAGATGACTTTCCATGCATGTGAACTCTATTATTCTGTCAGACTGACCAGTGGTCTTGACTGTTCAAAGGTCAGTGGTCACAGTTGTCCTGAATTACCAGTCCTTTTTTCATGAGGACCCTCTGCTGCGTTGCATGCTGTAATCTTCTTAATGGCTTCATTCCAATATTCACACATAATATTTTAGATTTATTGACTGTTAGAAATACTACCATGCCAGTAGCAGTTCCGCTACTCCTAAGGTATTTAAAATTGGAAGAATAAATCAGGGCAAGACTTTCAGGAATCCTTTGTTTTCTTGGAAGGGGGAAAGCCCCTCTTTTTTCACTCTTCTGACAAGAAAGCTTGTTTTTAAATTTCATCATTTCACTCTGAATTTGTCTATTATTTTTTAATTAAAAAAAAAAAAGAAAGTAAGGAGCTACTTCTCTGGGAGTAAATTTCCTAATATAATAATACTGAGATCACCACTTTAATAATATAAGGCACTTAGAAGAACATACGTGACCATAGACTGAAATTTATAAATTTTGGGCCTGACCCTGCAATACCTGCTTGCACTTAACTCTGACATAAAGACTTCTCCTTTGCTCAGATGTGAACACTTTCCTAAACAGCTTGCAGAATTGACAGCATCACTTCTAGCAACCAAGTCTCAATGACTTGAAATCATAGACTGAGCAGAACTTTTATAAATATGATCTTCAGAAGACAACAGACTTTATAGTCTTTTAGCTTCTTCTGTGGTGGTTAAATATTGTCAACTGCAAAAGCCACAGAGCTGTTAAAAGATGTGCAGTGTTTGTACTGCCTGCTACCTACACACTGTGATGCAGTACAGAATGTAAACTGGACTTCAGAGATTTAGTTTTGAGATTCCTAAATTTAGAGGATTATAACACCGTAAATTTGGCATATGAACATTGCTGTTCTAAAGTAGCATTTGAGAATTAGGCTGTAATTCATGTAAAAAATTGGTTACTTTATGCAGCGATTACTGGGAGTGCAAATTATTTTGTAAAATACGATGATTAATGGTATTACAAAGAAATGAAAGTCAAAGTATAACAGTGCAATTAAAAAAGATTTTTTTTCAAAATATAAATAGGATAATTTATGATGGTTTTTTCCATCAGAAAGTATACAAAAATATATTTAGAAACTCCGCAGTCAGCAGTGCTTGCAGTGTTATGAAATGACTATTTATTGTTAACTTAGAGTTGAGATTCTGTTGAACCTTGATATAGTTTTAGAAGCTAGCATATGAGATTGAAAAGTACAGCTAGTTTTGAAAACATTTGCATTTAAGTAGCTGTTTTTGTCTAAATGAGGAAATTATTATTAAATGCTGGAGGTCTCCCTGAGATGCCTAATCCTCTGTGTATAGATAATATTCAAATACACAGAAGCCCTTTACTAGAAATGGTGATTTAAATATCAGACTCTGGTTTGTTTTGAGGTTTTTGTTTTGTTCCTTTTCTCTGTGATCTTCTCTTACTTTCTTGTTTTTGAGAGTGACCTTCTACTTACTTTTGTAGTGGTATCATCTGATGGAGAACAACAAAAAGTAGTTCAAAACATAAGAAGTGTTGCTAATACCAGAGAAATAACTGGATATATTTTTCCAGAGATCTAATAGTCCTTCAGAACTCCAGTGTATGGTTCTGTATTTCTCAGATAACAATCAAATACAACATTATTCTTCTATATGTGTTTAAATTTATATATGATTCTTCTATTCACATGGATATTGAAGAGGTATTAGTCATGTTTTCTGTCTATCAGATATTTAGATTTTAGGAGACCTAGAAAGGATGTATGGGTAACCATTTAAATAAATTCTACTTTTTGCTTCAATGACCAACACAGTGTGTTTCTGCATTTTAGATACACTTAATTACACATCAGTCTCATTTGTATCTTTGAAAAAAACTATTGTATTGATTTAGACCTTTCTGAAGTTCTGATTGCTCTTCACTAGCAGTTTAGCAGTCCAATGAAGTCACCTTCCTATGAGAAACTGTTGCTAGGAGAAGATAAAAACAGTTTGCTTCTAGTGTAAATTAATAATACAATTTCTGCAGCGGATCACTGGTGTCTTTCAGGAATAAATTTTACCAGCATTCTAACCCCTGCAGTTTGTTTCTTGCAGTTCTTTATTTTTAAACTATGTAAAAGGTTATTTCTGCAAGAGAGATACAAAAGAAAAAAGGTTTAGCGTTCTTAATCATAGTTAGGTAAATGGGTTAAAATATAAAATATGAAATATAAATGAAGAAAAGATTTTGATACAGATGCTGCTTGCTGTTTTTTTGGTTGGTGTCAGAATAGTATAATTTTAAAATAATTTCAAGTGCTATTAATGATGTCACCCAAAGAGGTCTCACATTTCCTTGGTTTGAGGTGCATGGATGTAAGCAATCACAATCCTCCTGTGTACCAGGTCCTTCCAAGGAGATCAGTGCACCCTGTCTCTTACCTGTGCCTGCTATCCTGGCTGTAGTAACTGCATTATCACTCTGTCTTTGATTCACTTGTGGAACTGGGAGAATTTGCCATCAGCCTACCCAAGTGTGCCTGGGCTGAGCCCTGACTAAGCACGGTCCTGTTCTTGTGTGTTCACTGGCCTCAGCTTGGAGGACGCCATGGCAGGTCCCAGGGGCACTTTGAGGTCTCCAGCCAGGGTCCTGCTGGGGACAGCAGGCACATCAGGGCTGTGCTCACACACAGCTGTGGCTCCCATGATCTCTGCAGACTTCTTGAGAGCACCACGCTCCTGGTTCTTCTGCAGAATAATCTGACAGAGCTCTTCTTGCCTTTAAGCATTGCCCCCTGAGAGAAGCAGGAGTTGGAGGAGCTTTCTTTGAATTCTGGCATTGCCTTTTTGAGGCTCAAACTCTCTCCAGGACAGCACACAAAGATGTGTATTTGTCTAGGGTGCCTGCCTGCAAACTGCCAGCCATTGGAGGGTCTTAATAATGCTGAGCTAATAACACACTAGCAGAGCAGGAGATTGGTTGTTTTCTGCTGTTCTTTTTAGCACATTTTTTGCCTAAAGCATCCTGTTAATCAAATTTGCAGTAGGGTGCTTAGGGTCTGCCTGAACTGAGAAAATTAGAAAATACCTTTTTCATTCATGTTCCTCATTTGGTTGTGTAATCCCTCTGCTCTGCATTATCTTTACCCTCCCTCTTCTCTTAACCTGTCCTATCATCTGCCATAATTTCCCCAGAATCAGAAGGTACAATTTAGAAGAATGTAGATTAAAAGAGTCTAGAGATTTTTTTTATCTTTTCCCTCCCTTACATTTAGAAGACGCTTTTCCCTCCCTTACATTGAGAAGATGCTTTGCCTGTCTTGACAGAGACAAAATTTTAGCGGTGACAGTTCTTGTTGAATTAATGGTATTGCTTTTATTTTAGTCAAATTGTGCTACTGTCTATAGGCAGGTCTTCCTTGTATCCATTTATTTTCCCCGCAATGAAGTCTTATTTTTTACAACTGTAAAATAATTGAAAAATACAGAACAAAAGAAAAAAATCAAACCACAAATCCAAGACATGCATTTATTTTTTCAACCTTGAACTTCTTAACCGGTTTTTGTACTTGGACTTGTACTTTTTTTTTTCCTTTTGAGGTGTAAGGCAAGAACGTAAATGAGCCTTGGTGTGTGCTTTCCATGGGCTAAACGAATCAGGCTCAAAACTTTTATCTAGATCTGTGGAGCTTGGATATAAATTGAAAAGATCACAGCTATGGGGAAAAGACCTATACTGTAAAGGCCTTTCTGCATAGATTATGAACATCATAACTCAATAATTTTTTTTTCCAAACTATAGTTATAATTGGACCCAATGGGGGTCTCTCTCTTTGATCAGATCACAGTAACTGTGACTTTACACTGGAAAATGTCACTACTGTGAAGGTTTATCACCTGTAGAGCTGGTCTTTTCTCTGATGCCATGTTCAGTTCTCATTAGCATTATTCAAAGTTTAGTTGTTAATTAGGTTGACACTTCAATTACAATCATCATCTACAAGAGCAGTCAGGACTGCTTGCATAAAGAAACAAAAAGATGCTCATTCTTGCATATATTTCCAAAAGAATGAAAGCTGTTTTGGTGATAAACTTGTATTTATAATATTTCTTTTAAATAGTAACTCAGAATGTTACTTCATTTAGAGACTTAAATAATGCTCTGTTGGGGACATGGCAATACAAAGGGATGTAGAAATGTGTATTCTATGTAAGTAGAGTTGACTTATTTTCCAGGTGTCCCTCATGATGGAAATTAGGAGAGTATAGACTGTATCTGTGTATAATTCCACATATCTTGTAATAATTCCAGAATTATATGATTTTGCTCCAAAATATGTTGAAGTAGCAGTCACTTAAATTAAAACTTCCCCCCTTTCTTATTTTCTTTTTCTCTAATTCTGTCTAACCAGTGGTTGTTATTTGCCAAGTAAAAAACAGAAACCTCCTTTAGAAAGTCAAGCACTATAATCAGAATGGTCTTTTTTTCTTCTAAACTGCAGGCACTTCCTAATTACTGGGTTTTTTTCCTTCCCTTTCACATTTATCTTCAAGGACAATTCTGTAGGCAGTGTTACACCGAATTTACAAAAAACTTTTCTCAACTATTTGTCTGGTAGCAGGTACTCCCATGTTGCATGGTAAATGATATAAGCTAGGAATTTGACCTAAAATAAGAGATACTCCTTGGCACTGACTAGTAAGTGACCATTAAGAGTCCTTAAAAATAAGCCTTCATAGCTTAAATAAAACAGATCCAACTGTCTACATTCAAGCAAGCAAATACATATTATGCTGGAACAAAAATCTGCAATGAAGTGACTCACATGCATTTTACTGTAAAATAATTAAGCTTATTTATGTCAAGAGGCCTTGGGAAAAAAAAGAGAGCATAAACCAATCTGCATTAGCACTCTACCATCATCCCCTGCCTTCATTTCAATTAACAGGCCAGCAGGTGCTCCTTGCAGTTAAAAAGATAAGCTATCAAGGAGGAGGATGAATTTTTGGCTGACCTATAGACACCATGGTTTGCCTGCTGATTGGGTTCATACCTCGCTGTACCAATTTCTGAGGTGTTAATTTAACTGTTCCACTCTGTCACGCAGGTCTCGGCCTTGAAAAATAAACTGAAAAAGCAGTCGACAGCTACGGGCGACGGAGTGGCCAAGGCCTTCCTTCGGGCACAGGCAGCGCTCTTCGGATCCTACAGAGATGCACTGAGATACAAACCAGTAAGATGGCTGCCCCGTTGCTTTTTTCCTTGAATTTATAAGAGCAGGGTCTCATTCTTTCAAGGAAAATGTGAAATGTTTTATGCTGGTCTGGAGTAGTCTGTTTTAAATCTCACTCTGTGCTAAGGAATTGGAAGATACCACCATCTCTCGACAGTGAATTGAGCTGAAAATACTCATCCAAAGTCAGATATTTTCTTATTTGTATCAATTTTGTTCTTTGTTAAGTATAAAATCAGATTTTATTAGTGAAGCTGCTCACACAGAGCTCACATGGTTTAATGTGGTGAAGAACTGAAGGGGCTGTGCCTTTCAGACTCCATCGGTTTTCCAAAGGTTTTGCTGTGCTGGAGGGCAGAAGCTTCTTTCCTGGCAGAAGCCACATATGAGCCAAACCATGTATCTCTCTATTATATACTTACCTTGATTACACTTGGAAGACAGGAGAAATGAAAACCCATTTCATCTCATCAGAACCTCAGAATTTGTATTTTTCACATTTTGCTGGTATTCAGTTGATTAATGTTTTATGAGCTTTCATAATTTCTAAATAATGAGATGATACATATTGAGTTGGAGATAATTAATCAGAAAAATCTTAGAGATTAATTTCATCCATCAGTCCAGATTATTTTTCTTGCAAACTACTGGTAGTCGTTGCTTTGATCAAATGCACTGAAATGACATTGAGTGAATCGAATTCTGAGGATCAGATGTTTGGTTGTCTGATGGATTCAGATAAATTCCAATTTGACAGGAGAAAATCATCCTCACTTGAGGAGTCAAGTTAGTAAAGCTGGTAGGTGTGTGGAGCATGGGTGGGTATTTGTTTGGAGGTAAGAGCACTCTGAGGAGCTATGGTATTCCTTGATGGAAAGGATAGGATAGTTATTAATTCCAGAAGAGGGCTTTACTGGGGGGATCTTTAAAATAGGGTTTGGCCCTTGGGTTTTCCTTCTCCCCAAGTGGTTCTCTTCCAGGCAGTCTTTTGTGCCGTGGGCATTTTGCAGAGCAGCTGCAAAGCTGTGCCTCTGAGAGCCACTGTTGTGAGAGGGCAGGTAACCTGTGCAGACATGCAGTCATGTACAGCTTTAGTTCATGGGCTGGTGTTTAGCAGCTCTCTTACAATATGGAAATCCCATTTGCATTTCATACAGAAAGGGCTGCACCTGTTTTAGAAATCACTGGATTTCAACACACTGCTTGTTTCAGTAAAACAAATCATTTCAACAGCACAGATAGTTATCCTTTTTTCCATTCTGCCATCACCTGAATGTAGTTCTCTCCTTAGTCTTAAGGTGAGGACACTAGTCCATGCCAACTCATGGCAGCTTGCAGTAAGAGCTGTTCAGTCAAAAAGTGTCTTTTGGACACTTAGGATATGTGCAAACAGAAGGATGTCAGTCTGCTTATGTCCTTAGCTCTAGTCTGACCAGAAATAAGCTTCTGTCAGTCCTTTGTTTTGGTAAATGTGGAACTGAGTGTGCAAGTTTTTTAGCAACCTGGTTAGCATCTCTTTTGAAGTGAGCTCTCCTTTTAACTGATTCCCATTGTATTTCAGTTTAGCTGTTGGCATATCTGAGATCTACATTTGCACTGTATTGGAAACAGTGCACTGTGCATCATTTCAGCTGGCAAACATTTGTCAAAATGACCTTTGAAGTCTTTCTTTCTGCATTATTTTCTTTTGCAGATTTATCTGGGTTTGGCTCCACTGATTGCATATAAGAAAGATATTTATGAAACCATTGTGGCCTGATTTTTTTTTCTTAAAGACAAGTTATTTCAAAATATCTTAGCAGGCAGAAGTCTGCTGGCAAATACTAGCATATCTTGGATTGATATCAAGTTGTTCAAAGACAAAGCATATTTAAAAATAAATAAAGCCCCCTTGTAACTGTTATTTTGAGCAGCATTCACATAATCTTAACTAATTCAGTACTTCACAGTATTTTTGTGAAAGAAAAGTTTAATTCACTCTGGATTAGTAGAAATTAAGAAGATTTTGTATGATTAATCAGCTCATTCTGAATTTGCCTTTTCCATTGTGAATTGGAAAGCTGAAAAAAATCAAATCACATTTGGCTGTATTAGGAATATTTGTCAAGAGTGTCAAATCTTGATAACTGCTATTGCAAAGAAAATATTTCCCTTTGTTTTGGAATCTGTGGTGCCAGGTCTAATAAGGTAATTTAAACCACAGCTACAGACTGAATTTACATTCTTTCAGGAACTCAAGTAGTATTTATGTAGAAAGTTTGTAGGGATAACACTTAAATAAAAATATTTTCCATATATATTTGAAATACTTTTGCTATAAATAAACTTATATTTTCAAAATCAAGATCTGAGGTGTTTTGGAGTACATTTCTGAGGATCACAAACCTCCTGGTGAAAAATAAAATAATGTATTTGGACAGTTATCAATTGCTTGAAAGTTGAAAAACATGTCTAAGTGAACTATTTTCCTTGCAACAGTGTGTCCTGTATGATTTCAACTTGAAACATGAAACAACTGTCATTAATATTCACTTTGAGTAAAGAACAGCTTTAATAGTGTCTGTACTCATCCAACACTTCACTCCAAACGCTGTTCATCACACTGAACACTCATTCTGTGCAACTGTTTGTTTGCAGCACAGGACAGATTCTCCCCGGTATAGCAATATGTCTTGGACAAACGTCTAGCAATTATTGAAAAAAATGATTGGTGAAAGGCAAAATGGGAATCTTCAGGGGTCTTGCAGAGAGTTCGTGGGCCTCCAAAGGACCATATGGAAAATCTGACTACTCCAATACAGACAGGAAATATGACATGTAATAGGGAAAGTTTATAATAATTTTTTGTGCATATTAAATGATAATGAAACACTTAATCCAGTAAAAGAAAAGAAGAAATAGCTGGTTTTTCTGATTTAATCATTACTAAATTAACCTGTCACATTGATATAACTGTTAAGAGTACTTTTTAATATGCTACACTTTACATTAGCAAATATTGTGTAATAGGAGTGGATCTGTAGAGCAAAGCAGCCCAGCTAGTGCTAAGGACCTGACATTCACACAGTGTGCGTTTCTGCCTTCACTGGGGTTCTGGTTCTAGTCTGGTGTTGAATGCTGAATACCCATGACTAGCTGGAACTCTGCTTTAGTTTAATCCAGAAGGAATCCATCTCACACATGGTTTGTGGGGATGATTGAAAAAATTTCTTTAGTGTCATTTGGTAAATGACCTAAAAATAATCCAGAAAAAACTAGTATCAATTGAATGGTGAATTATAATAGTTTTGTATATGGTCCCCTTCACATAAAGGACTGCAATCCATTTTGAGACATTGTTTACTTTGAGTGCTCACAACTTGGCCTTGAACCTTGTGTTGCTCCTAATTTCTTTGAGTAGTCCAGCTTTTGGGGATTTCTCCTGGATAATGCTGCATGTTCCATGTTTCAGAATTGAGGGCATAGGTGGGACATAGACACAAATAGGGCAGTTGTGAAGTTTGTGTCATTTTGTTATCAGGGTTGTGTGATGTTGTGTTTTTCCCAGCTATTTTACTTTATACGTTCTTCCTGCATGTCCATGGGCAGATGAAGGCAAAAGCTAGTACATGTTTTTCATTAATCATATGCAATATGATCAGTTAATAGAATAATATGTGACATAAAGAATTCTTTAAAAGAATTCTATTGTTTGTCCCAGTCTATGTCTGGAGAGGGAGTGGTAGATAAGAGAACAGAGAAGGAGTAGAAAAAGATTGAATATAACAATATTTGAATGATAGAGAATAATTTCCCTTCTTTTGGGGATAAAGGCCTTGAAGCTCTGGATGTTAAAAGAAATAAACCCAGAACAGCTTGGTTTCAAGTTGTGATGGCTGTAACATCACTCATCAGAAATGAAATGAAGAGCAAAGGCTGCTGGCTTGCTCTGGAATGCTCAGCAGTAGGAGTTCAGGGGGGGAATAGGATAACCAGGATTACCTTCATGGTGAAGATGGCACAGCCTGTCAGACCTCTCTTTAATTGATTGTTAACTGGATGCTTTGGGCCAGTACTGACAAGCAGTGACATCAGCTGTCCAACAGATGTTGTATTCAATTACAATGAATCAGAATAATACAAGAAAATAAATAAAATTTATATTGGAAAAAAAATTGAGATTCAGAATGCACTTGAATTATTTGAGGGTGAGGAGATAGTAAATGATTATAATTGAGTTTCAAAATTGCAGATATCTCTTGCAATGGGGGATTGACTTGTTTACCTTTCCCCCAAGAGTTAGGTAGAAAAAGTACAGCAGCATACAGTAATGAAATGGCAGAACATCATTGGTGTTTAAATCCAGAACCACCCTTTGTAATACCTGTTTGACTATTTATTTGATTTCTATAAGAATTCTATTTTACATGCTGAAAACCATAATTCTTTTTTTGTGTGAAGGACTGTTATTGGTCCTTTTTTGAATGTAGATGCTGTGCTAATAGGAGTTGGTTTTAGGTATAGTTTAACTATACCTAAAATAAGAAATATCAGTGTATCTGAATCTTGTTGGGTTTTTTGGCTGATTGCAAGAAATTTACAAATTTTGGAAAAATTTGTTTGTAATGGTACCTTCCTGAGAAGAATCACAGCACATGCTCAGTTACCCCTCGGCCATTATGTCTGAATGTTCTGACAGAAATTTTTAAGAAGAGGAATTTTAATATCAAAATGAAATTATATTAATTGTTGCTGTAGAATTAATAGTTGGGATGAGTCATGCTAGAGTGAGGCAATGTTTTCTGCAATAAAAAAGTATTTTTACTTCTTCAAGTTAAATACCACTAGATTTAGAAAGCACAAACACACCTTCTAATCTAGGGGTTTTCATTCCTTTAAAATGATCACACTGGTTTAGCTCAGTTTTCATGTTCCATTGAGGTCTGTATAAATAGCTTGCTTAAAATGTGAATGTAGCTTAGACTCAGAAATTCCTGCTGTGTGTGGCAAGCTATGAAAGGGGAAGAAAATTCTATAGCAACTGTTGTTAGAAGGACAGATATCATGTTTGGGCATAGATTGTTTGGTGTGAGTATTAGCTGTCTACTTTTCAGTACAGAATCCCCACTGGGCTTAGATCGAACTTGTTTTGAAAGTACATTGTAGATCAATACAACAGGGGCCAGCTGATGGCTGAGCAGTTAAATATCAGTGCAGCATTCCTCCAAAACTCTCTTTTAAAGGTAGTCAGCTGTATTTGCTGAAACAGGAATGGTACAAGCTTTATGTATGAAAACATTTGAGAGCTGCTTTTGTTTATAGTAGTTCAATAATTCACTTGTTAAATAGCACTTCAAAAGACTTTGTGTTTGCAGTAACAATCTTGAAGATTTGGAAAACAATTTTGTTGGTGAGAACCTTGAACAAATAAAAGAGCTAGGAGTTAATTGTGTTATTTAATGCAATTTCATTAAAGTTACCACAGATACCCTGAGAAACCTTCCATGTGGAATTTCTGCAGGTTTCAACAGATTTTCTCATTTTCATGTGCTGAACAGGTAGGAGCTTTAAACCTACTCAAATTTTTAAATCAGTCTCACAGTCAGCACGTTGAAATAATATGTATGACATTTGGATGTGAACTCCTTATAGAATTAAATGAATTTTCAACAAAGAAATAGCTTTGGTTGTTCTGTGTCTGAGCTGTACTGATAAGGGAACAGATGCACCAGTGCATGCATTCTTACTAGGTATCTGAAACATTCAGTGACTAAAGGAAAGTATTTGGGAAAATATTACAGCCATGCACTAAAAAGGAGTGTTGAACTATCGTTTCCTGGTGTTCTCTTAGAAGGCTCCATCACAAGTAGTGCCATCAGGAGAACTGGCTGGCTGCTCTCTCTTCCCTGGCTGGTGTGAAAGGGCAGAGCCAGCATGCCTGTTTTCTCTCCTGTAGGGAGATAACCTCTCCTTTTTCATCTATCCCAGGAGAACTGGGAGACTGGCACAGGGAAGCATAGCTTAGTTTTTATTTTATTAAATAGTTTATTTTGAAAATATTTTCTCTCTTTATACCTTAATTTAATGCGTGTCATGAGCCATCATCTAGTCAGAGCTGCACTCCTATAAAGCCTCTGTATTTCCAGAAGTGCTTCCTTTGTGTAACAACATCAAATAATTAAATAAATATGATATATGTCTGTGTGTGTGTGTATGTATATATAGGGAGTTCTTTTAATTTGCTGCCTTGAAATTTCTTGGAAGAGCAACAGAACTGAGAAGAGAGTCTGCCCTCAGGAGCACTGTGTCTTATACCACCATGTGACTGTTCCATTTGTTTTGATGCACTTTGATTTGCTAAGTAGCTTGGGGTCATCTTCTTAAGACAAGAGTCTTTAGGAGCTCAAGAATAAATATCTAATGCAAAGTGGGTCAGGAAGGCAGTGCCATTTAAAGTGCTGCGAATATTTCAGGCTGTTTGGCAGATCCAGCATGCCCTGCATGTGTACAATGTTCATCAGCTATTTTGGGATGAGTTGGGGGAATAACTTGAATGCTTCTGGAGATTTGATGAACACAGTGCTGTGTATTGTACTGAGCTGGGTTTGTGTTTCAGAACACTCAGCTACCCTGGGACAGGGCAGTGATTGTGCAAATCTAAGACTCAAGTTCTTCCAGTGAGAGAACTTTTTTAAAATCAGAGCTTCCATAAAGAAGTAAGGATGCAAGACTTGTTGTTGTACTTAAATACTTTGCTGAGTTGGAAAGAAAAGAAAGATTTGGGAAAAGGGAAATTTTTGATAGTATAATAATAGATTTTAAAATTACATCACAGTGGTTTTACTGCAACATTGCCTTAGGTCACACTTGAGCCATTGAAAAACAAGGTGTAAGGAACAGTTGAAAATTATTTACAGCTGCTCCAGAAAACTCAGCTAAGTCTCCTGGAGAAAGTGCTTGGTGACACTCTGGAAGGAGCTCCCTGCAGTCAGCTGGAATGATGGGCAAATGCAGAAGTGCCATGTACCATTGGAGCTAAACAGTACTAGGAGCACAAAGCTGGGGTGATCATGGCCGTTAAATTTGTCTTTAAAGTGGCTGGAGCTGTTGTGAAGATCATTGTAGCAGCTGCCTTTCTTGAGTGGCTGAGGTATCTTTTATTCTTTTGTGAGACTGCACTGGAGATGTAGCTTCTGGGTAGTAAAATTTCAAATGGTAGATTTGGGTGGGGCACTCTGTGGCATTCCAAGTTTTGTGTCTTTGAGATCTTTGATAATTGTTGCTAGCCTGGTAATCATTTTGGTTTTGTAAACTTGGGTGAGAGGCCTTTCAGCTTTACAGTGAAATCTGATTGTGTACCTTCACTGCCACACAAACTTCATAATTACTTGTCCAGTTATGCCAGATAGCTTCTATCACAAAGTATGGACAAGAATAACAAAACTGGAGAAATGCTCCTCAGTGGAGGAGCATCCAGTGCTCTGTGCACACTGAAAACAGCAAATTTTAAATGAAATTAGGGAATAACAGAGGGAAGAATTTGATTGTTTATGAAGATTCTCAATAACATCTCTTTCTTTCAATGAGTGTTGTTTTCATTTTTTTGCAACAAGGTCTGACTTTTCAATGAATACTTGTTTATCTTCTTTCATCATCCAAGGGTTCTGCACTTTTCCCATGTGGGAGAATATGTTTTATTGTTTAAGTGTTAATGTTCAGACCTTTTTCATTACCATGTTTCAGTTTGTAGCCTTTGTTTTGTGTAAAAATAAAATAGATGTATGTTTCAATAATTTCCTGTTAAATCAGCAATGTATTTATCAATCTTCCCATGTCTTGGTAGAATAAATATATAATTAATTTGACGCAGACACATATTTTTGGACTGAATTACAGTATATATGTACGCTCACCATCCTAACTTTTCCTGTTTGGTTTTTTTAGGGAGAGCCTATAACTTTTTGTGAGAATAGTTTTGTGAGGCATCGTTCCAGTACAACGAAGCAGTTCCTGGAAACAGCTGTTAATCTTCAACTGTTTAAACAGGTATAAAGAGTGTAAATGGCCCATATTTAAGGATTTTCTCTTAAAACAGATCTGTGTTAAAATACATTTTCCTTTCTGTCAGCCTACAAAAGTCTGGGCTGAAATCTAAATACAAGTACTTTGGGTACAGTCATCCCAGATTTGTTGTATTTTTATGTCTGCAGTTATAGTTCAAAGGAGTGGTGGTGAAACTGAACAAAAAAATAACCCCAGGGTGCAGAGCCAGTGCAGCATCTCTTCAGAGCCAGTCAGCAACCCAACTAAACAAGAAAAATCAGGAATCTCCCAGCTTGATGGTTGAACTTCGTTTTCAGCTCTCTTGGTTCATGCCCAAAGAGCCTGAACAGCAGAGTGCTTAACTTAAATTGGAATTCACTGGTCTTTATTTAAAAACTGGATTCATCCTGCAACTGCAGTTTTGTTGGCTGGGCTTTTTGAAATATGCACACAGAGAATGTCACAAACCTGAGCTATAGGGGTGGCCTGAACAGTATTCTAACTGATCTCTTAAAGCAGAATTTGAATTAATAGAGGACAAATTGTTGAATATCTGGGCACAGCTCAGTTATAGTTTGATTACAGTCTTTGAAATGGATTTTGTTCTTTGATTTTATTCTGTAACTCTTCTCTCTTTTCATCAGTTGACCCCATTGCATGAAAAAGGTGTTAAACTTATCATTGGACTTTTATGAAAATCAAGGAAAATGTGAATGAAATCAGAAGATTCATGAAAATATATATTTGCCTGCAAATGCCTGGAATAATTGATACACAAGAGTTCATGTTTAAATAATCAGGGGGACTTCTTTGAAGATAAACAACCATGATAGATTAGGGAAGTCTATTATATGTAGAATCTTCTAATTTTTAAAAAGCATTTGGTATTAATCAGAGGTTAGTGTCTATTGTAAAGATTTGGCTGAGGATGGTATTTTATACAAGCCCCCTGAAAATGTGATCACAAAATGGGGCTCCTTCAATTTTACTGTGGTTATATAAAATAAGCAATAAGAAATCTGAAACCTTTTGAAGTCTGGTTGATTGGATTGAAATGGGAAGAAGTAACTGATTGAAGTGTGGTTTACTCTGTGCAGTAAGGTAGCATGAAATTTTCTTAATAAAAAGCTGCTTACAAGCAATGTTTCTAAAACATTATCACACTGGCAGTACTGAAACAACCTTCAGCTACCATGAATGGGCTGGCTCTGTACTTACCCATTACACTTTCATGTGTTCAAATAAACAGAATCAGTTTACAATTTGTTTATAGCTTGTTTTAATTTTATTTCAATTGAAGGAAATAATAGAGGATTAGGAAATAGTAACAATTTTGATGATGTGTGTGGTTTAATAGTAGTAGTAGTTTTTTTTTATTCCTCTGGTTCTTGTTGCAAAGGTTACTCCTACTTATTCAGTTAATCCTCAGCCCAGCTGCATCTTCTCCAGTTTTTCCCACTCACAAATGAGCTGTTTTCAAAGTTGTTTGTATTCAAAGAGACCAAACTGTATTTTACTCTGCTCTGAAAGTCTTTTAACAGAAAATAGTTCTTAAGGGCAGCCTTAAACCTAGACCAAGCATAAAAATTGGTACTTTAAATACACCCGTTTTGCCATAATTGACAAGTGAGCTTTATTTGTGCTGTTCTATGAAATCCCTCCTTTGTCCCTTTAATTTGGCTATCATGGAAGGTAACTAACCTTTGTCTCAAGCTGCAAACATAAGTAATTAATAATTGTATATAATGCATCAAATAGTTCTCATGAGTGTCCAGGGAAAATATGAATTCATTCTTAGAACTAGCCTGAAGCCTAATGCCAGACTATCTCCTTAAATAGTGTACTTGTATCAGCAAGGTAATCTGCAATGTTTGTTGGGATTTTTTTTCCCTAACATGTTAGAAAGTGTTACTTAGAAAAATAATTAATGAATGCAGAAATCAGAAGCCTTTGAAAATTGTTAGTAATTCAAATTTCATTTACCATCTTTATGACCTGAGCTCTTTTGTGAGATATGTGCTGTTATTTTGTGGAAATCACATTTATGATGTTTTCTTTGCTTCTAAAAACCTTTTGGTTTTAAAGTTGATAAAATTACTTGGATATTCTGAATATATGTGGTCTCTCTTTTGGTTTTAGAACTCAAAATCAGTTGAGGATAATGTCTTTAGTCACCTTAAAATCCAAGGGTAACAAAATTGCTAGTTTTTCATTGAAAGAGGTAGTCATCCAAGGGTTCTTTGGATCTCAAAGTGAATATATTTCTTGGAAGAGCAGGCCCTGATTTTTCAGTCTGCAGGTTTGAAGGGTGTGGGTTTGAAAAATGGAAAGAGAAAACCCATAAATTCTATGTGTAATTCCACATGCTATTCTTTTCATGTAGCAGTTTAAGTGCAACCATTAACAGTAAATTACTCAAAAGTACCAACTACTACTACTACCACCACTACTAACACTTATCATTTCCTTTAAATAATGTCTCCAGTATCTTTTTGCTAACAGTTCTCTTTGTCAGTATTTACATTAAATACTCAATTGGTGTGACCCTGTCATATTCAGTCAATGTCTCAGCCTTCTGTTGATAGGATTTTAGCAGATGATGAGTATGTTCATAAATCTTATGCTAGTTTATAGTATGGAATGAATTCATAACTTTCCCCAAAGAGATAATGTGGTACAGTTCAAAGGAAAGGATGGGAGTGGAGGTTGCTGGTTTTGGGGGGCTTTTTTCACAGCAGTAGCTAAAGGTGCTCTTATCTCATTTTCTTACTGTGAAATAATCCAGGGATCCCACAGTGGTCTGACCATGAACCAGCCTATTTGGAAAAAGGCCAGCTTGGAGTAAAATAAAAAAAATAAGAAGGAATTTAGACAAGGAAGAGAGAAATATCTTCATGCTTACCTTATTCTTGCTTCTGGAATTCCTGTACTCTGAGAAAGTTGTTTTTTCATGTCACTAGTCTGTTCATTGGCAAGCATCAGATTGTCACTGACACTGTTTGGATAATCAGTCATAAAAATGATACAGCCAAATAATTAATTCTGGTTCATTCCTATGTACTGTTTAGTACCAGTGAATAACTCATAATTCTTGCTAGAAGATGTAGTGTATAATTGGAAAATTGCTTTCTCACTTTATCTGTCAGACTTGAGTTAGCCTTTCCAAAACAAAAAGGGAGGGCTTGAAAGAATTTTAAATCTATAGGAATGTGCTTGTTCTACTTCCTTGAAGCCTGGTAATTCTTGAAAAGAATGTATTCATCCCTTCTGAGTGGTTTAATCATTAATTTTCTAATTTTGACTTTTTCTGACACATTTGGATCATTTCATCTATGTATGTGCACTTATTTGTAGCTGCAAATTCATGTGGTCTTGCAGCTGAAACCTCTACATGAGCTGTTGGAATATGCATCTGTAGATGCACCTAAATAAGGGTTAGTGCTTAAAAACACCCATGATTTCACAGCAGGACCAGGGAATGGCTTGGTGACCTTTATATGATTATGATAAAAAACCCAGAGTTACTATTAAGTAAGGAAATAAATTCTTTTCTTGCCATTAGAAAAATAAAGAAAATATTAATAACTTTCCAGATCTTTACACCTGCTCCTGTGTAAAGATGTCAAGTCCATCAGAGAGCAGTGTATTATCCTTAAGACATGTATGGTGTTGAACATAGAGATTGCATTATAATGGACACATTTAAAACTCTAACACTGTGAAGCAAGAGAAGAGACAACAAAGTGTAGTGTATGTGACCCTTTTTTTTCCACCTCCAGTTTATTGATGGTCGGCTATCAAAATTAAATGCAGGAAGAGGATTCTCTGATGTTTTTGAAGAAGAAATCACAGCAGGAGGCTTTTGTGGAGGTACAGAATTAATTTGGGAGTACTCATTGGCAGTTCTTTGGGAACTGTTTGACATGATGTCCTCATGATGTTTTGTAAGTCTTAGATGTCATTGATCTTTTTACTGTTCTATTGTTCCCCCTCATTCTTGGAAAGGTTTTAGCCTTTAACAAATCACTGCTGGGATACACATTATTATGTATCTAGTTACACCAGTGCATTAAATATGTGATATTAGATATGTGTGTAATATTAGGTATGTGTGTTTAATACTGTAAAGTAATATTTATACTTCAGTATACGATGAGATATCACTATAGTTTTTACATTTTTAACTGTGTATTTACAAATACGATGCATTCAGTGTAAACTGAATTTTCAAAATAATTTTGACATTTGTACTGCTTAACTTCTAGATAATTATGTTTTCCATAAATGCTTCATTTTCTTTTCATATCTGCTTATACCTGCAGTGTAGAAATGACAGTGATGTCCTGAATGTTAAGGGAAATCTGCTTTCTACGATGAATGTGTAACTCTAAAAAAAGTGGAAGTTTTTTTTACTTTTATATATGATCTGAGAAGGGACATGGAAATTTATCTTCTTTGTAAACAAAAATGTAATTCCTCGTGTTTGCCTCAGTTGTGTTCACTGACAATTGTTACAACACTTTTCACATCAGCTAACCCATGTGGAGGAGTGCATCCTGAATGCAGTGCTGATTTTTACAGGATTATGGAATGGTTTCCTGTTAAACATTTAGGACAGGTGTATTGTTATATTACATATTGTCATGTTTTAAACCCAGCACCACACATCTGCTCACTCTACTGCTGCCAAAACCAGCCCAGGTGTAAGAGATGGTATCAAAAGATGGGATCAATATATGCATGACTGTACAAATACTATTTTATGGTCAACCTTGAAAGTTGTGGAGAAGCTTCCTCAGTAGATGGAGGTTATGTGATTTGAGCAACTCCACTGAGGTGCAGATGGCAGCTTTGGATGGACTTCCTTTGCAAGACTGTCCTTGAATGGGACACATTGAGGGGAGGATTTGGCCCCACAGAGAAACTATCAAGTGCTGCAGAGCCATCTGCACCTCATAAAAAAATAACTTTTTTATTCTCAAAGTGCATAATTTCTTTTGTTCAAGATTTTCACTGCCTTCTTCTGCCTTCTGTGTCTTGTGCTAGGATCTAGCACATAATTTGAGGTTTTGTTCCTTGATCAAATTGTGGTTAGTTTTACAGAGATTTACTTCTTCCCTGCCATTTTAGGGTAAGTTATGCCACCCTGCAAGCAGATTTGAGACTTTGAGCATCCATTATTCAGATAAGTGATGTCAGTATTCAGAGCTCGTTTGCTGACTGCAGTTAGGGGTCAGAGGCTGCAATAAAACTGCAGTGGAAGTTAGATAAAGCTTGTTTCTTGGCTGTGCTCTGGCAGGCTGTGAACTGTGTCTCACCTGGCTCTGTTCAGGAGGGACCGCTCAGCTCTGCTGGCGGCGCTGGGCTGCCTTGCACTGCCCGTGTGCTTTTCAAGTCAGACAAGCTGATAGTGCCAGGCTGTGGACAAATTGCTTAGGGCACATACTCAGTATTTACATAACTGCTGTCTCATTATTGTTATGAAGTGCAGGGCTAACAATATGTGTGCAATTGAAGGTGACATTTTGTGACGCTAATGGGGTAGAACTATGATCTCTTTGCAAACTTAACTCCTGTCAGCTTCAGCAGGAAGCCCAGGGTTTGAAAAAAACAGGTGAAACCCAGATTTCAGAAAAGTCACAGAAAGTTACTGTTAGCTCCAAGCTGTTAAAAGGACAGGTGAACACATTCTTAGTGTAGACAGTATAATTTAAAAACTACTGAATCAAATTCAAATAGAAAGTGTTTCTTTAAGTAATCTCTTTCTAAATTTGCATTTGTCCATATATGCAAGTTTAACTAAACCAGAAAATTGAAGAATTAATCTTAAATTTCTTTTTTTTTATGATTTTCCTTAAACAAACAATGAAAAAAGTGATCAAAACTTATTTCTGTATCTGCATCTGAAAATAAACTTGTGAGGCATCTTCATTACAGTTGCATTTTTATAATTGAAATTTTATTTTCTATTTTTTTTTCTATAGAAGTATAGTTCTCAAGAGCTTTTCAATACAAGAATATAGTGATGGATTGATTTAACACTCAGTTTTCTTGTAGAATATGTTAATTAATTTTTAATTACATTAATTTTACCACAGCAGCCTTTTTTTCTTTATTGGTCTAATATCATTGGTGCTAATAGAAGGAAAACTGAAAAAAAACCCCAACATTTCAAACTCCCTTGTAATGGTAATTTGTTTTAAGGATTCAGACTTTTTTTGCTAGGGTTTCAGGAGGTTCAGCTCTAGCTGAGGGAATGCAATGTTACCATGGTTGTCTGTAGATAAGTATCTGTTTTCTGATTATCATCCCTGAAGAGTCACTACATGACTAGATGAACATTAAACTTGGTCATTTGCTCTGATCCCATTTATTGTTTCTATTAATTGTTTAAGTCAGATTGTGACAGAGAAAGCTCAGCTGTAGAAAGTATTAAGGACACCTCAAGACAGGTGATACATGAACATTGTTGACAAGAATTGAAGCGACGAAATGCCATGTTAAAGAAAGCATTTATGGTTCATGCAATATCCTTAACACCCCAGCAGTGGTTAGATTTCACCTTGTACATGTAATTTATGTGCTTCCTTCCCTGACAATTCTAGGGAGCCACATCAAAGAAGTGAGAAATGAGTTGTTTCTGCTTTAGGTTGCTCTTTGCCATTCTGAATGGAATCAAAATGATCATGAAGGTCCCTACTCTCTAAGCAAGCACTGCTTCCACTTGTGCCATCATTCCTGAGAGTCTGGCTGTCTCAAAATTGCTTGTAAAAATTGAGTGGAATGGGTTCAAGTACCCATTATGAGCCTAAAGAGTTCATGTTTCTTCACCTCATCTTGAAAACTGGGAATACCTTTTCCAATGATCCAGTTAGTTCTCAGAAATGTTCTAGGAGTGTGTTTGGCTTTCATTAGCCATTGGAATAATTCTAGCCACACCTTAGTTAGTGGAATATTGGAACACTTGAGGAGTTTTGCAAGCTGTTACAAGTCTGTTAGGTTACATCAGTATGGTCCTTTCAACGTGGTCAAACTCTGTTTGAAGCTGGAGTGTTCTTTTCAAAGTAAATGTTGTGTATGGGGTCAGTAGCAGCTCTCAGTACCGGAGTATTCCAGTGACTGGTATACTCTAAAAGTTTCTCAGGGATCATGGACCTAATCTTGTTGTTCACCTGAAGCACCTTTGGGAAGTAGCATTGACTTCTTCATCAAGTAGAATTTAACGTGCTCCTTTGTGGCAAGTTTAGTCCTCAGTGGTCCCACAGAACTCAGTAACTCTCACCTGCCTTTAGAGGTTTTCCTTTCTGAAAGAAAGTAGATACAGTTAATAATTTAAAAGGATTTTTTTCTGCACAGGAATTTACAGTTGTTAGACTTTTCTCATGTTCCTACTTTGGTATGGTACCTTCTGGAGTCCATGTCATTGTTGTGTTTGAAAGTTTGCCCAGAGGGATCATTATGCTTGAATGCAATTAATACATTATTCTTTACTTTGAGTTAGTGTTTTTCTTCTTATACTTCCTAAAAGCATGTTACATTATCATCGTTTTAATTTCACTTTTACCTTAATTGGAATAAAAAACTGTATGGTGAATACATAAGCTTTTACAAAGGAAACAGAAAACAAGCAATAAGAGATTCCTGAGTTTCTTTCTTAGTGTACACGCACTCTTATCTTTGCATTCCATGTCTATCTGGAAAGAATTAATTGAATAAGTAATCCTCTAAGTACATTTTTTTATTCTGATAATGGAGAGAGTTGCAACATTAAAAATGTTGAATATATGTTTGATTGTGTTAATTTCACATTTCTCTTTCAGGAAATTCAAGATCTTATCAGCAGTGGATGCATACAGTGAAGGTATAAACTTGGTTAAATAATTATATAGAGTGAAGGTATAAACTTGGTTGAGTAATTATACTGGCCACCTTGTCCTTTAGGTCTCAGTCCTTTTCCCCTACTTCTGTGTAATGGTAAAAGTTTGTTCATTTGTGAGAAAGACGTAAGTACATTCTGTAAGAAATACCAAGTCGTAGTATTTGCAAAAATTGTTTGAGTTTTTTAATTGAAGAATTAAAAAAAAATTCCCATACACAAAACAAATGCCAAAATACATAAGATTTTTATGTCTGTATAGTCAAAGATTTCATTGCTTTCTGTATCATGCTGCATTCCATGGCTCTGAATTAGGTGTGACAATTTGATATGAAGCTTATCCCTTCTAGTAAATAGCAATTTTGTTAATATGGATTTGTGCAATTTGACTAGCAGAAGACCCTTGGTATAACCTTGTTATTCTGCAGCAGTAATAAAATACATTATTTTAGATTAAGAGAATTCTTGTTTGATTAAATGAGATAGTTCTTCCTGTCAGGTCAAAGTTTTTTTAGTTGCATAATAAATATGATAGGAACACATGAAAAATAGCCTAACTTCTGAATTGATTTTGAAGTGGTAACAGTGAATGAAGACTGAAAATCCATCATTCTGTTGGAGTGCCTTGATAAATGTGTCAGCTGTGGAATGACGTACTGTAACCCTTGTGTAGCTGCAGACAGCAGGCTGGGGAGGAAACACAGCTGTGCTTGCTCTTACCCATTTCAAAGGAGGGTTGTTACTTCTTCACAGCACACTGTTTATTTTTCCTTGCTGTTGTCTTAAGGTTTACCTTGTGTTAAAATGTTACTAAAATACATTTTTTGTGTATTTCAGAAAGGCGGTGCACTGATCAACACAGCAATGACCAAAGCCACTCCGGCTGTGAAAACAGCATATAAATTTGTAAGATCATCTATTTCAAATAAATAATAATCAAAATACTGCAATTTCTGACAACCTCGCATTCTCTCTGAATGCTGAAAAACCTAAGCATTTTATAAATAAATTGCAAAAAGGTACTTCAGCCTGTAGAAAGTGTTGAGCTTCATTTGTTTTCTCATATATAGGATTTAGAGTTGTTTCAGAGTCTTCTAGATAGCTTGTACATAAAAATAGACTTTATCAAAGCATCAGTGTGCTGGTTTTCTTTCAGTCCTCATACACACTGGAAGCTTATTAGAATATCATTTAGGTATTTGATACACAGCTGTAATTTCACTTTGGCAGTAAGTGCTGCACTATTGAGATGTGGTAAAGCATCAGTAATGTGTGCAGCAAATCATCTGCTCCTTTTTAAAAACGATAGTGGAATGCTCATGTTTAACTGGATTTAATGCTTGCACTTTTCATCTTAAAAGATCTTGTTTTTCAAAGACTGCCTACCCTGTGATGCATGTGAGATTATTCTGTATTATGCAGAATGGTAAAACAGCATTAGAAAAAAATGAACTGAGAAGTGTTTTAAAGTTGCTTTTATAATGCAGAGGAAAAGATTTTTGGCTTCCTTTTTGCTTTTCCAAATGTTTCACTAGCTGGATGCATTATAAATAATCCTGAATAAATCAGTAAATCAATGTGTACTAGAGTATTTTAAGTAAAGTTTTCAAACAGAATTTTTAATTTTACATCACTTTAAAAACACAGCAGTCGTGGAAAGAAACAGGTAAATAAATTAAATATACTTCACATTCATGGACTCATTTATAATTTAAAAAATGGTTCATCTGCAGATTATTCTTCTTCATTTGCACTGTCTTAGACTGTGGTTCAATTTTGATAATTATGCCCTTGATAGTAAAGGTTCTTCAAAGTGAACTTCTGTATATGCCAGGAAACTGCAGTAAACTTCTGAGGATCTTTATGTATATGATATCTATTTTTCTACCCTATTTAATTTCTTACATTGTTGTCCTTTATGTAGCCTACTACCAGAGGACTGAAATATGCATTTCTTAATTGCCACATAACTGTTTGGGAGCTTTGAGTAATTTCATTGGTGCCATCCCTGAGAGTTAGAACAGAGCACTCCAAAATTCATCCAAATGCTGTGAGCAGGATCTGGAAAGTTTAAAGTGGCTTTCAGGTTAGCATCTGGTACATGGCACCCCATCGTGCTCTTACTGAGCTTATGGATGTATGATTTAAGGATCAAAAAGACTCTATGACCTCTTGATTCAAGATTTTTTTTTTCTGAATTTCCATGTACAAAAAACTACAGGAAAATAGACGGCTTTTAGATATTTATGCTCTTGAATGTATTTTAAAGCTCCTATTTTCAATACAACCTTGAAAACTTTTGTATTTTTTTCCCATTTGTTTTTAGAAAGACAACTTTTTTTCTGTTAGGGTTTTTGATGTTATACCCTTATATTTTATTTTGTTTCTTTCTCCCCCCTTCTCTCTCTCTCTCCCTCTGTCTCATTTTTTTTTAAGCCTAACAACATGGTATTCCATATTGATAATTCCTTTCTGTATTGAAGAATATTCTTGGCTGTTTTCTATGCAACAATGATTCTTGTCTGTCTCTTTTAATGCATACAGAATTCTCCCCTAAATAGCAGCACTGTGCTGTTCAGCAACACTGGGCAAAATCTCCATCTGCATATGAAATCACTTCATTTCTCTTAAGGTTGATGTTGCCCTGCAAGTTGCCAGACTGGAACACTGTAGCAGTCATCTTAACAATCTTCACATTTTTCAACATGCTTTATTGCTAAAATACCCTTTCAAATCAAAAGGAGCATTTCAAATAAAGGAGTTATATAGATGACCATTCTTAGCCTGTCCCTAGTAATAATGGAGAAATTTTGAGTATGTATGTTTTCCCAGCACTGGCATGGATGTACTGAAAAAAAAAATCCGTAAATTTTTGGAGAAAGCATGAATATAAAAAAAATACAGTGGCAGTGTGTGTTTGAAATTTGTGATAAAGAATATTGCCCTTTTCTATATCACCAGGTGTTTAAAAAAAAGGCAAAATAAGTATGGCATCATAAGGCATGTTCTGTGACTATAGCTAGTGTCCTGCAGAGCAATTTAAGTCCTTTTATTTTTCCAGGCAAAAAACCAGGCGAGGCAAGGAATAAAAGAAGTGAAGAGTAAGTTAAAACACAAGGTATGTAGGACACTTTATTTACTTTCTTACACTGCTTCCTGTACAGTTTGAAGCTTATACTTTACAAATCACATGAGATTTGTGTTTTTAATGACTTTTGAAATATGCTTAGCCCTTTGTTCAACAATACATTTTTCATAACGAGCCCTCTGGCAACTATCTGTCATTCTATGCATCCACTGAATAATCTCTTTATTGTTTGCATATTTTATCATAGAACAACAGAGGTCTTCAAAGATACATTAAGAGGATGTATGTTTTCATAAAGTTGATTGCTTTGATATCACAATCAAAGCCTTTGCTTCAAGCTGAGAATTTGAGAAGGGAGAGTCTTGCAGTACACTGTATTTCAGGAGGTGCAGTTGTCCAGTTTTAGTTCCATAAGATACATGAACAATAGCAGTGTTTCAAGGTGAATGAATAGTTTCATTTTGCAAAAGCAACCTCACAAACTCAGAGTAGATGGTTTAGGCATTTTGCAGCTGCTTTTCCCATTTGGAATTTTGCTTCCATGTAAGATTTTTCTGTGCAGAAAAGGAACCATTTTTTGGATACCTATCACGCTATTTTAAGAAAAATTTCAAAAACATTTGAACAATTCAACTTTTAAATGACCATGCTGGTAATCTGGCGTTTTGAAAAGTTAAATTTGATTTTCTTACTACAGATGGTATTTTCATGACAGTAATAGATTGTGGCAAGATAATTTTGAATGCATTCTGCATGCATAATATGGAGGGTATGTTTGCAGATAATGATTATAAATAAAGGAATTTAAATCTGTTTTGTTGCATAGGAGAGTGAGGAAGAGTGTGGAACGTGCAGTGCTGGTGCAGTACAGACTGTTCCTGTCTACACATCGCATCCTGACAAAAGAACAAGCTCAGAAAAACGAAGGCTGGCACAGGTAAGACACCTGAAACTTCTGTTTGCATTCATATACATATAGGGAAAAAATTTTTGCTGCTTACAGTCATGTGTCTGTGAATCTGTTTCCAAGATGATTTTCCTGTGTTAGGATAGTGTGACTAAAAGGCTATGTTTATATAAATACTGCTACACTGCATGTGTGGACAAAAAAAAATGCTATTTGTGTTTCATCCCTGTTGAGAGGGGGATATGTAAGTATGGATCTGAGATTTAATTCTTAAATACTGGTTTTGAGAAAGATTAATAGATATCTATGAATAGACCAGAATTTATTTTTGTGAGAAGCCTATCTCATTTATTTTAAGGCATATTAATTTTGTGTTTCTAATAAATTGTTTTGGCAGTCATATGGCCTTTAACCTTGCTCAGATGGTTGTGATTTATTATTTTGTTAATAAGTCAGCTAGTTCATGCAGTGCCAATGTCTTGGCTTTTGTTCTCTAATCCTTCCTAGTCTAGATTTGAAGTAACAGGTGTAGTGTCTCAACTTTGGCACGTATTTTAATGTTTTCGGATTCATTTTGACAGTTTGATTTCAAAATTATAAACAAAGTAGGTTTTCTAACACTTTTTTTCTCCTACAAATATTTACCTGCATATGTGCTTATCTTTAATGTATAGGTATTTATTTTTATGTTATATTGTTATTGCATGTTTTTAATATATGTGGATTTTTAATGCCTGTATCTTCCTAATATGAGAATTAAGTATGTAAATTCAGTCCAACCAATCTAGCAGCATTTTTTTTTTGCTCTAGGTAGTGCAATAATAAAAATATGGGTTTTCTATTTAATCAATTTGATTTTGAATTAGTTTTTATCAGTAATAAATACAAAGTTTCTGGAATACAATTTAGAACTGATACAGATGACTGCTAAATGATGGTGAAATTGTACATTAGTATTAAGTAATTATTTTATGTAGGGTTATAAATAATACAAAGACTTTCTGCTTCACTGATATGGTAGTGCTGCCTATTGTTATGTACAGGAGTCTAGGGATACAAAGGAATATAATTCACCTTGATACAATTAAAGATTTCTTTTGAAGGCGTGTGTTCAGACAGAACAATTGAACTTTTCTGTGTTTTTGTTTGTCCAGCTGTACAGTGCTGAATCCTGTAACCATTGCTGTTTCTACCAGTTGTCCTTTAGCTTTGCAAACAAGGCAGGAGTGCAGATGTGAGCCTGGCTTTGTTTCCATGCATCCATACACACGTGTGTTAACGGATGGGTGTGCACACGGACACGCGTGTGTTTCTGTGGGGTGAATTTACCAACAAAGCTGGAACTGAGAGCCTCACAGTTTTGCCCTGCTCCAACCAAAGGTGTCTTCTCCCCAGCTCTTGTCCCAAACATCACATGAAGCCAGTGGGCAGGAAGGGGCACGTGGGGATTGCCCTCCAAGAACTCCTTCACCTCTCACTCATTCAGTTCTCTTTTTCTTCCTCCCCAAAAGCAAGCGAACCAAAGGACTTCTGAAAAATAAGTCTGTTGTTGCTACTCTTGTTTTTATTTTTGGTCTTGGTGTTTGAATAAGATAACATAAATTCTTTATTAATAAGTGGTGATTTTAAAGTTTACATCCAAATGAGAATATATGTTAGTATTCACAGTGCATGTATATGAGAGACCATGTTTGATCTAGTACTGAATCTACTGTTTAAAATAAGTGAAATTCAGTGTGCTGTTGCCAGATTTAATCCTTTTGCTGGTAGTCTTTATCCTGCAAATGAAACTCTTCACCCAGATCTCTAAAATTATCTTTACCAGTGGCTGTATCAGTATAAGGCTAGTGCTAATGTGGAGTTCAGGCAATTTGATACACATTTAAAGGAAGGACCAGATACTGATTAGGTTGTTAAATTGATGTACTGTAATACCCACCCCAAACCTAGATAAACAATAAACAAGAGAGAGCAATTGCTTTTAATGGTCATCCTGCTTCCAAAATAGAGGCACCTCTGCACTTTATTACTATCTCTTCCATACTGAAACATTTAGAAAATTGTAAATACAAAGAATTTGGTGTCATATTTTATGTTCTATCAGAAGTATGCATTGAGCTTCTCCTTCTCCTCTTCTTGGAAACAGTTAATTATTAAGAGTTACCTGAGATGCTGTAAAACATACTTTGAAAAGTTATCTAACATATCAAAGTTTGCTTTACTGAAAAATATAATTTAAAAAATTTGTTCATAACAGGATTTGGGGGTCTGAGAGAACGTTTCCTTTACAATAGGAAGTGAGTCTGCTTTTACCCCAGCAAGCAGGAGTTTGTATATGGGTCTGCTAATTAGTATGGTTATTTCCTGTTTTGTTGATGAGGCTTTAATAAATGTCAAGGGTACAGCCATGAAGATCTCCCAATTAGGCTTTGCGTTTGTAATACCCAGCCCCTCTGCTTTTGTGTGAGGATGACAGTTCCAACTGCAGCCTCAGCCTAACAGGGCTCAAGGGAAAGGATACTTCTCTGGTTTTATTGAAAACACAGCCAGTTTGGCCCAGGGAGAATACCAGCACTGGTCACAGTGCGGAGCCATTTTTAACAATGAATATTTACTAAGCTTTATCACTGCTGTCAGAGTGGCTTTATTGTATTTTTTCTTTTCCAGATTGGCAATAGGCTTAAGAAAAAGCAGCAGTAAATTAAAAAAAATAAAAATTATAGCATCTAAAATAGCTGTCAAAACCTAACCAGAGGATAAATAATTAAATGTGTTATTGCAAACTGAAGCGCTCGGCTTGCCCTCCTGTAATTTGCATTTTGAAAGTGTTTCCTAGAAGCTGGGCACGGGTTGGTGCCCGTGTGCGTGCGCGTGTGCGCACAATTAATCCGTGCCCAGACGAGCCGTTCCCTCTCTGCAGCGTTCATTTGAGCTTGCTCCTGCTCAGGTTCGCTGTTCTAGGCTCTTCAGACATGTGTGAGCTTAGCTATACTGCAAGTCAACATTAACAGATGGATTGCCCTAAGCAAGGGAAAACCACAACAACAAAATCTAGTGAAAGTGGAGGATTGAAGCTTTTTATTGTTAAGCCTTATTAAAACCTTGGCATGTGTACTGCTGTTAACTGTTTCATGCCTAGAGCTAATAATGTGTCTCGGATATGTTTCATCTCTTACATTAATTAGGAATGTAGAAGATACAAGAAATCACCAGCTAAAATTTTTGAAATAGAAGTTAATGCAAGCATGAGATTGCTTAGGCTCTATTTGCAGTATCTTGTGAGTGAAACCACTGAGTTCCTTTAGCTGTTGACGAGCAAGGTACAGCAGGGCATGTTTTAGACTATGGAGCATTCAGTATTTGCATAATCTCTTTTAATTCTGTGCCATGTTATGCTCCCAGGTAATGCAGATTTCTGGATACACAGGGACCTAAATGCAATAGGAGCTTTGTAAAATTGTTCCAAATTAATATATAATTAAAAAGAGAGCATGTTTATTATGATCCTGCTTTGAATGCCAGGAAGATCTGTTTGATTTCATTAATATGATCTTTGTAATTTTACTATTACATCAGGTGTTGGGGTAGCTTAGACCATGTCAGGATCTCAACAGTCAAAATGTATTTCATGGCAAATAAAACACTCTGGAAGATTAGCAGAATACCAAATAAGTACTACCAGTTCCCTTTGCAGTTATTAAATTAGCAATGCCCCTTGTCACTCAGAAAATGTATGTTCTACCTGTACCTTTAGGCACCTACTACTTTCCATCTGTAATGGAAATAGGCATGTTGTTTCTAAGGGTGGATTTACCAATCACTGTGTCTCAGCACTGCTTTAAATGTTCCTATATTGAAGATACCAGGTGAACTACTCACCATGACTTTGCAGAATTCAAATAGAGTGTCTAAGAAGGTTTTTAAAACACTTTTAATAAAAATCAAGTTAGACAAAACTTTTTTCTTGATGTTCTCAAAGAGAAGAGAGTTTTTTATATTTTTCTTTCTTTCCTTATTTAAAGAGTATTGCAAATGGAGCTTTTTCACTTTTATTGAAGTATGTCCTAGAGACTATACAATATATAATTCAGCTTGCAGTAGGTGTGCTTGGCATCTGTTCAACAAACACAGCAAGTGTCAGGCAGGAAGATGTGTTCAGAATAACCTTACCTTCAGGAGTGCCCCATTTATCAATATCCCTACAATGGCCAGTAAAATAAATGACATAATCATTAGCTACAAAGGACTTCTAGTAACTGATTACCCTCCTAACCTGAAAAAGGTGATGAGAGTGGCTATTCTGAAAAGAGGGATATTCTGATGAGTTTTTATTTTTCCTGAAAAATAAGAAAGGAGATTGTGATAATGTAGTGCTGAATGTACATATTCTGTATAAGATGACTGAATGTCTTTTAGGAAAAATATCCGCAGTCAGTCCCACAGTGATTTCAGAAACATAAATCTGATTAAGTACATTTACCTGTATTTGTATTCTGACAATGTGCTTGAGATCACATCTATGACTACCAACCACAAATAACACTGATTCTCTTGCTGGAGGTTTCTTCCACCCTCATTGACTGAAATATTATAAATTGAAAGATGTCATAAACAGTACGAGCTAGTTTTTAATATAAGTCACATTTTGCTTCTGTAAAATACAGTTTTGAAGTAAGCATCAGTTGATCAGTAAATTCTGTTTCTTTAGCTAATGTGGTGTAATGTGAAAATATTGAAATTACCATTAGCTTCCTTTAATTTGGAGAAAAATCTTTTGTCTTATTGTGTCAAGTAAGATCTCTTCATTCTGCAAAACAGTCAGATTTCCTTTTAATTAAAAATGAAAAAGCTAGGCTGTCAAAATTCAAATTGCAGATTACGAGAGTGCCCTCTTGTGGCTCCTGTTCCTTTCCAAAGTGGCAGAGCACCGGGATCCTCTGCCTGTGCAAGCCTTGCCTGCTGCAATGGAGACCTCTTACAATCAAGGGGTATTTCCTTTATTTGTGTTAAGTGAAATTGCCCCTGGATTT